AAAAAGAAAAAAAAACTTAAAAAGACGGAATTTCCCAACTTCCTAGCTCAGGGGTGAGATGGCGACAGTTTTGCAAGGGCTGCTGTGCTGTGCCTTTACACATTAACCCCAACCCATCAGAATTCTGGGATTTCTCTCCAAAGATTATCCACTTAACACCCTTTCCCCAGAACACAAAATTATTGCTCTCTGCAGTTCAATGAGTGATAGGAAAAAAATGCAAGATGGAGAAGCAGCAACACCCCTGAGGAATCATCCCGGAACGCTCCGGTGTGATTCGGAGGCTTCGAAACTTATTCCGTCACCTGAGCGAAAAACATCGAGAAAATAAGAGCGGCTGAAAACTAAAAGGAGGGAAAACTGTGACAACCATTTCGGCTTCTCGGATAAACCAAACCGCGGGGCTTCCAAACCGCGAAATTCAGCTCGCGCCGCTCGGGATAGGACAGCCCCTTGTCGCCCTCTGTCCCGCCCCGCTATAAAACCCTCCGCCCTCGCTTTTCTTATTCATTCTTGCCCTTCTCCGACGGGACAAGTGTCCGGGAGCCGTGTGCGGACCTGGATTGTGCTGTAGCCACTTCGTGCCCTCTCCGTGCCCGCTCCGTGCCCGCTTTGCCCCGCTCCGTGCCCGCTCACCATGAGCCGCTCCCGTCGGCGCCGGCTCCCCGCGCTGCTGCTGCTGCTGCTCACGGTCAGTGGGGAAGGGGCTCGTGGGGACCCTCCGGGAGGGCGGCCAGGGGGGTTCGGAGCCCTGTGGGGGCTGCGCGGTGTTGTCGCGACATGCCCAGGCTTGCAGCGCTCCGGAGGGGCTCGGAGCGGAGGGGTGGGATGGGTGGGAAGGGTCCGGAGAGAGGGCGAAATAAAAGGTGGGGAGGGGGTATCGAGGTGTTTGGGGGATGCTCTGGTGAGGGTCCAGCCAAGAGGGGGGGGGTTGTGTGAATTGGGGGTGGAGGTGAGGGGGGGGGGGGGATACCTGGGGGGGGGAGCGGGGAATGGGGGGGGTGCCTTTAGCGGCCATTGCGGGGGGAAAGGCTCGCGTGGGTGAGGTGAATTTTGGGTGAATTTTGGCCGGGTTTGGGGATAATTTCGGGATAATTTTGAGGTGAATTTTGGCCGGATTTGGGGATAATTTCGGGATAATTTTGAGGTGAATTTGGGTGAATTTTTCGGTGAATTTTTCGGGGGGAAACTGAGGCATGGAAGGACCCACCTGCTCCGGGGGGCGTGGGGGGGATCTGGGTGGCTCACCTGGTCTGGGGGAGACAGGGAAAACAGGAGCGGGGGGGGCCTTACCTGGCCCGGGGATGAGGCGATGGGACCAGGGGGGGTTCAGATGGGCAGGTGGGGACGAGAAGGGGCTTGGATGGGCAGGTGGGGACCAGGGGGGTTCACCTGGGCAGGTGGGGACTAGGAAAGGTTTGGATGGGCAAGTGGGGACAAGGAGGGGTTTGGATGGGCAGGTGAGGACCAGGGGGGGTTCAGATGGGCAGGTGAGGACCAGGGGGTTTTGGATAGGCAGGTGAGGACCAGGGGGGTTCAGATGGGTAGGTGGGGATCGGGGGGGGTTCGGATGGGCAGGTGAGAACCAGGGGGAGTCACCTGGGCACGACGCAGCGGTGTTTGGGCTACGGAACGACGTGAGAATTTGGCCGGGGGTGGGAGGAAGCCGCAGATTGGAAGTGGAATGGGAAGCGATGGGAAAAGCGATCTCGGCCCCTCAAGTCCGAGCACATGGCGGGGATGGGGACGGTCATTAAAGGCTGCAGGCCGGAGCAGGAAAGGGGATTTCCACTCCTTAAGCTCCCAAATCGTCTTTGCTGGCATCTGGTGGCAGCACCGACACTCCTTGGGGATGTTTTAACACATCGGGATGCTCCGAGCAGGAAGGGGACCCACCCAGATGATCACCAAACTCTCAGCACACGGATTTAAGACAGAAAATTCCACCTGGGCATATCATATTTCCCATATTTGGATTGGCTGTTGTGCAGTTGGGAAATACCTGAACTCTGTTCTCCCTTGAAGTCAGGAGGATCGTGCCCTGACTTTTATCTCGGCGCATGGCCGTGGAGGAGTCCAGCGGGCGCTGCTTCCGCCCCGGAATTACATCAGCACTGGCCAGAACAGGTTTTTAGGAAGCGCCTCTCATCCAATTCAGCCCCTACATTGTTTAACAGAGTTTATTCAGATCGGCCTGATAAAGCCAAGCCTTGCTGTAGCCACTACCTAAGGGCAGGCTCGTGACAGCCTCAGGTGTTTTTTTACTTTTTTTTTTTTTGGTAGAAGGGATGGGGAGCTGCTGGGGGCAATGATCACATGGCGCGATCGTTCGATGTTGCGTGTGTCCTGTCTCTCCATTGCGTCATGCATGGACACGGGCCACGGGTTTTGAGGAGGAATGCTTTGGATTTCTGACTTTTGCTGGAGCTCAAATTCCATGTACGGGAATTCCAGGCGGGAAAATCCCTGCCTGAATCAGCCCTTGGTGTCCTTGGAGCAATGACGTCAGGTGTCTGCCCAACATCACTTTTATCTCGCTTTTATCCCACTTTTATCCCGTTCTCCTGCTGCCATCAGGGGCTGTGGGATGTCTCTTCCTCTTTCAGGTCAGGAGTTCAGCCAGGGGTCTCTCCTTGCTTGCAAAGTCCAGTCACCTCAGGATAAAAACAAACTGGGGATGGAAGCAGGGAAAGTTCAAAGGTTTTTGCTTTCCTGAGCTTTTTCTCCAGACTTGATCCCCCAAGAAGAGGCTTTTAGCTTTTCCCTCTGCCTCCAGGCTTTCTGGGGTTGTTTACTGCGAGTGAAAACTGAATTCCACCGGTGCTGGATTGTCCCACCGACAGTTTTGTCAGTGGTGGCAGCGGGGTGCTGTGGGCTGATAACCTTATCGTGCATTTGTTGCTGCTCCCTGTAAAGCAATGAAATCCCGTGGCCGAGGGGCCTCCCCAAACTGCACAACACGCTGTGGTGTCACTGCGATCACCCTCACAGCATGGCACGGTTCAGGTGGGCGAGAAACATGGATTTCTTTTCCCCTATGGAAATTGGACAAATTATCCCTTCACTGCCAGGACTCCAGGGACCAGAGTGGGTGAAGCCATTGGGGCATCCCTCTAAACCAGGATCTGGAGCTGACCCCATTCCCAGGCTGATTCCCAGGCTCGGGGGCTCCTGGAGGATGTTCCTCCTTGCCGTGTCCTTGTCAGTGGTGGCTTAGTGTTTTTGTCACCCTCTGTAGCCCCTGGGCATTCTCTCCGACCTGCTGTAGCCGGTTTGGCGTTTTCCTGGCCCTGGAAGCCTCCGGGGAGGAGTCAGGACCGGTGCTATGGGCAGGGGACAGGACGGCCCCTCCATTGTTTCAGCCATTCCGAGCAGCTTCTGAGTCACCACAGAAATATTCGAAAGGAAGATTTTTGTTTGAGGAGGGGAGGGGAGCAGTGTCTGCTGCAGAGTGTTGAGGCAGGGCCACTGCCTGCCACCCCGGTGCAGGTAGGGGCAGCTCTGTATCCATGGATATTCACGGAGCAGCTCTGTGCTGGCTCACAGGCCAATGCCATTGTCCCCACTGGGGACATTGAGGTGCCTAAAAGCCCTCCAAAGCCTCAGGGGACAATTGAGCATCCCCTTGGAGTGACCCAGGGCGGAAGGAGCTGAGCCAGCAGAAAAGAGGCGTGGAGTGTTGACGGAAATGTGATTTTTCTTCCTGATCCTGCAGGATAGCAGGGATAACACAAAGCCATGCTGCCCCCTGGGAGCCTGGAGTGACAACCCAGGGGTTTCTGGTGGGCACTGGAGCCACCTTCCAGCCTTGACACGGGGCCAGTTTCCTGCCACAAACCCGTTCCTCTTCCTGACCTTTCCCTTCCATTCGGGGCTGTTGGTGTTCTCAGAAATTGGGGAAGGAAAAGGGGTTCAGTGACTCTCTGCCCTGCTGATAACCTGGCAGATGGAATTCCCCTGCAAACCTCCAGAGCTCCTCCAGAGGCTTTGCCAAGGAAAAACCAGCTCCTCCCCTTGCCCCGTGGACTGGGGTGGTTTTAACCCGAATTTTTCTGTATTTTTTAGCAGGTGGCCACTTTGGTAACCGGTGGTGTCATTCAGAGGAGGGACAGCTCAGATCTCTTGAATCCAGGCTGGGGAGGGAGAGATGGTTGCTACAAGAATGGTGCTGGTCTCAATTGCCAGAAGTGCCCTGCAGGTGAGGTGGTCTCAGCACTGACCCCACCCTGTGCTCCTGTTTTGTGTCCTCGCTTCTCCTGAGGGGCAGCAGAGCTCCAGCTCTGCCCTGCTCCCCTCTCCTGGATCTAAGCACTCACTATGGGAATATTTTCCTTTTGTTGGCTCCTCGTTTCTCTCTGAGCTTTGGTGGTGGTGCAATCACAGAACCCTTCAGGCTGGGAAAGAGCTCCAAGGCCACCAAATCCAACCTGTGCTTGATCCCCACCTTGTCACTGAGTGTCACATCCAGGAATTCCTTGGACACCCCCAGGGATGAGCACTCCAAATCCCCCAAGCCCTGACCACCCTTTCCATGGAGAAATTCCTGCCCTGCCCTGGCCCAGCCTGACGCTGTTCCCTGTTCCCAGATCCCAAATCCCCCCGGCTGTCCCCTCCTGTCAGGAGTTGTGCAGAGCCACAAGGTCCCTCCTGAGCCTCCTTTTCTCCCCTTCCCAGCTCCCTCAGCCTCTCCTGGGGCTCCAGACCCTTCCTTGTGTGTTCAGAATTTCCCTTTCTCTCCAGGCACCTACCTTGCAGAAGAGTGTAAAGAACAGAACAGCTCTAGCAAGTGTGAGCCCTGTGGAGACGGGGAGTACATGGAATATCCAAATGCCTTCTCATCCTGCCAGGAGTGCTCCAAGTGCAGGGAAGGTAGGAGCTCGGGGGGAGCAGGGCTGGTGGCTCAGGCTGAGCTCTCTCAGAGCACAGTGTCACCTGCAGTGTCCCCAGGGAGTGGCTGGGGCTGGAATCTGTGCCAGACCCACATCTGTTAAACCACATCCCTTGTGCAAAGCTTGGACACGGGATGAGGAGGAGGAAGATGAGGCTGCCAGCAGCACTGGAAGCTGCTGGTGCAGTTTGATCCAGGCTCTGCTCTTGGTTCCCTTGGGGCAGGAAAGGCTGACACTCAACAGCAGGGAGGGACTGGATCCTCCTCAGACCCAGAGGAGCTGGGATGGAGCCGTGTCCCCTCTGTCCCCTCTGTCCCCACAGATCAGGTGCAGCTGAGTCCCTGCCAGCCCACCAGGAACACGGTGTGTGCCTGCAAGGATGGCACCTTCTGCCCCCCGGAGCACCCCTGTGAGATGTGCCAGAAGTGCCAGCCCAGGTGGGTCCAGTGGCCATGGTGGCTCCTGGGGGATCCCTGCTGGAGCTGCAGGTGCTGAGCCCACCCTGTGTCCCCTTTCCCAGGTGTCCTGAGGGCCAAGTGATGCTGAAACCCTGCACACCTGACAGCGACCTGCAGTGTGGTCCTGCCATGGATAGCAGCACCCTCGGTAAGGGGGGTGGGCTGGGGGATGGGGGTGGGAGGTGCTGCTGAGGGGAAAGCAGGAGCAGCTGCTCACAGCTCTGTTTTATCTGCTTTAGGCATCGGGGACACCGTCGGGGTGATTTTAGGGATACTTTCCATCTTATTAATTGGGCTCGGCGTCTGGAAACTCTGCTGCAGCTCCTCAGGTGAGTGCAGGAGACCCCCAGAGCACCCACCTTGGCTGGGGGCTCTGCTCTGGTGTGGGCTGGGTGGGAACAGAGACCCCGGGAGCACCCACCTGGTGTGGGCTGGGTGGGAAGGATCCTGCCTGGGTGAAGAGGGATTACAGCACTGTTTCTGTCTTCCAGGGGATGGGAGATCCTCGAGCAAGGGACTCAGATGGGTGGTGAGTTCCTGGGATGGCAGATGGGGGGTGGCTCTGTTTGTGGGCTGGGGTGAGGTCCCCCATTCCCTCTGCTCCCCACTTGGCCAGCAGCTCCTGGGAAGGCTGGAGGAGCAGGGGGATGAGACTCATCCAGCAGTTCCTGGGAAGGCTGGAGGAGCAGGGGGATGAGGCTCATCCAGGAGTTCCTGGGAAGGCTGGAGGAGCAGGGGGATGAGGCTCACCCCTGCAGGGTTGTGCAGAGCTGGGCCAAGCAGAGGAGGATCTTGGTAGTGCCCTGGGTGCTTCCAGCCCCCTCCTCAGTGCCGCTGACACTTCCCTGGTGGCAGTGCTGCCACATCCAGGCTCCACAGATCCTGGAGATCCCAGGGTAGGGGCGGGCTGTGCTCGCCCGGAGCTCTGCCAAGCTCGGGATCCACTCCCCCGGCTCCATGGCAGGGTCCTGCCTTCCCAAACCACCACGGGTTGTGTTTCTCCCTTGGCACAGAGGTCCATGTTTGAAAAGCTGCCGTGGTGCAAGAGTGTGAACGTGGAGTCAAGAGACAACAACACCAACGAGGAGCGTGACCCAGAGACACAGCCATGGGTACGTGAATGGCACCCTCTGCCCCATCCTGCCTGGCCAAAATCTCATCGTCCTGGGGGGTTCCCAGGCCTGGGCCACTCAGGGAGATGGTGAAGGGATCAGGATGGCAAAATCTGCTCGTTGCAGTCGAGAGGGTCCTCGGGGGATTTAACACTGATGCTGGGCAAACACAGCTCGTGTCTAACCCAGCTCAGGGCCTGCTGCCATCCTAGAGCCGGGACACACAGAGCCAGGATGTCCTGGGGGTGGGTGATGATCTCCTGCCCCAACAGCCCTGGGAGAGAGGGAGAGAGGGTCTCCAGTCCCCCGAAGTCACACACTGGTGCTGGGGCTTGGTGGGTGCTGGAGGACATGGTCATTCCAGGAGTGACAGTGTCATTCCAGGAGTGACAGTGTCATTCCAAGAGTGACATATTGTCATTCCAGGAGTGACAGTGTCATTCCAGGAGTGACATTGTCATTCCAGGTGACGCCACCACCGCCACCGAGCGTGAGACCCAAGAGGCCACGGAGTGAGAGACGCGAGTGGAATCTGTTTCCAGCGCCAGGGGATGAGCCTGGTCAAAGTAAGAGCTGGGGATGTGCTGGGGGCTGAGATTCCTGTCGCAGCTGCCTTGTGCTCTGAACTGTCCCCTTCCCCCTCCAGGGCTGCGGAGCTCCTATTACATCTTTGCTAAAGCCATCCGCAAGGACAACTGGAAGAAATTCGGGCGCTGCCTGAAGCTGGAGGAGAACGACATCGTCATGACCGAGACAGACGATGATTTCTATGAAATGCTCTTCAGGTGGCAGAACAGGGAGGGCTACAAAGCCTCTGTGAACACTCTGCTGCAGACCCTGGACGACCTCTGCCTCAGCGATGCAGCAGAGCGTGTCTCCTCCATTCTGCTCCAGAGGGGACTTTTCCAGGTGGCAGCTGAAGGGAGCAGTGAACAGGCTGCACCTCCCTCCCCAAGCTACAGCCACTGATTACCTCCCGGAACACTTGAAGTTTAATTGTTTATAGTTCTCCTTTGGCTTCCCTGCTTTTGAAGCCATCTCAGAACTCAGCAGAGCCAGGAGAAGCTGATGCTCATGAGAATACGAAGCTCAGGGTGATCCCTGCTGGAGCTACAGGTTCAATGTTGGTGCTTCCTCATGGAACTCGGGCTGGTTTCTGATCTCACTGGTCAATGCAAAAAGCTTCAAATCATTTCAAGATGCCAACGGTACTGCATCAGCACACAGTGAAGGGTTTTTGCAGGGTTTTTTGGTGTCCCTGTGCATTTGAACTGGATCATCCTTCTCAAGGGATTCCTGACATCATGAAATGGCTTCTGCTTCTAGAACACCTCAGAAAAAGCTTCGCTTTGCATGCTTGGTGGCTCTGCAAGCTGAGCTGGGACCTTGGGTTATTTTTTGTGAACAAAATTGGTTTTTTTATTTTTCTGCTTGTTCTTGGGGACCAGTTTGAAACTGGACTCGGAGGGTGGAGTCCTCCTTACTGACTTTTGCACTGTGGTCGCTGGGGTTGCCTGGGGGAAGGGACAATGCAGGGCTCAGCCAGCAGAGCCCCCTGCCAGGAGCAGGGACATCTTCCACTCCACCAGGTTGCTCCAAGCCCTGTCCAGACTGACCATGAATGTTTGCCAGGATGGGGCAGCTCGTCTGGGCACCCTTTCTGCCAGTGTTTACCCACCTTCCTTTTTCCTCATTTTCAACCTAATGTGACCATTATTCCATTTGAAGCCATTCTTGTGTCCTGGCACTTCAGGCCCTTGTCCAGTGTCCCTCTCCAGCTCTCCTGGAGTGCTTTTAGGCACTGGAAGGGGCCTGAAGGTGTGCCAGAGCCTTCTCCAGATTGCAGAACCCCAGCTCTCCCAGCCTGGCTCCAAAGGGCCTCCAGCCCTCAGAGCATCACTGTGGCCTCCTGGATTTGCCCCAACACCTCCACACTGCGATGCTGGAGCTGCAGGTGGGGTCTCAGAGCTGAGGAGAAGGAAAAAAAACCCCTCAAGGCTCTGCTGGTGACAGGTTAGCCCCATGGCCAGGGGGTGGCTGTGCCCTGTGTCCCCATGCACTGTGACCTGCTGCCCATCCCACCCCAAGGGCAGCTCCTCAAACACTGCCCCTGGCACACAGCTCAAGTGCTTTTTTTTATTTTGCTCAGCTGCAAAAAGAGCTGGGAAAACTACTGGAGTACTTGAGCTGCCACCCTAACCCACTAGGACTTTCCCGAGTGGGGTGGGAGGGTGTTCAGCACCCTTCTTGCTGCTCCCCCTCCTCCTCCACCCTCCAACAAGCTAAAGCTTAACAAGCAGAAGTTTTCTACTTATTTATTTAGCAATTGTAAACATTACATATATTAACTTAAAAGCTATATAAAAATATCAGGGTTTTTTTTTTTTTTTATTAAGCATGACTGTGTGTTTTTATACAGAGCTCTGGCCCAGCCAGTTTTCTATTTTCCAGTTTTTTACATTTCTGTGTTTATGAAGGAAGAGTTAACTTTTTAAAAACAAACAAACAAAAAAAAAATCTTCCAGATTTTCTTGTCTAGTTTGATTTTCTTTATCCCCCCAGAAGTCTGGTGAGGGCCTGTCCAGGGTCTCTCAGTGGACACCAAGGTGCCAGTGGACACCAGTTTCTCCAGGACTCAGCCCAGTAATTATTTATTCCCACCAGGAATTATTTATATCCCACCAGGAGTGGTCCCCAGGGGTCCCTTCTGCCAGGGAAAGCCACCAGCACCCACCCTGGCCTTTATTTACCCTACACCAGAGTCCTGTGGCCACAGCAGGGGGGGTGACACCTCTGTCCCTCTGTCCCTCTGGGGGTGGCACCACCCGGAGCTGCTCCGGGGGGCTCCAGCTCCACCCAGCCAGGGCTCTGTGTGTTGCAGTAGCTGTGTTGCAAATCCATGCAGTGCTTAGTGAGAAAAGGGCTCTGCTCAACCCCCCAAAAACGCCCCTGGAGCTGCTCTCCAGCCCCTGCACTGCCGAGGGGATTTATTTTTGTTTAAGAGTGTGGGGCTGGCGTGGAAAGGAGGAGCTGGCCCAAGGGTTTGTGGCCAGGGGCATCTCCTGGGTATTGCCCTGTGCCCCCTGAGCAGGCAGACGTGGGCAGGAGCTCCTGCAGAGCCAGGCACATGCAGGGTTCAGTGCCAGGGCTCGGCTCCTGGCCAGGGGAAAGTGAACAGGACTCGGAAGCAGCAGTGAGTGGCCAGGTTGTGTGAAAAGGAGGGAAAATCGTGCTCCTACCTGCACGGGAAGGGTGAGGAACACCTTGTTCCTGCCCGAGGCTGCGGGTGGGGCATGAAGAATGAGAGGCTCCAAGGTGCTCCAGCTGGGAAGAGGAGCAGTGTGGAAAGGGAGGGGACACGACTGGGAGCATCCCCAGGTGCTCCTCCAGCAGCAGCCTCTGCAGGGATGGGCTCCAAGGAGCTTTCCCCATCCCAGGAGGGGAGGGGGAGGAGGTTTGGGTGCCTCCTGCCCTGCCTGGCAGCCCTGGGGCTGCAGGGACACAGGTGGGACAGGCAGGGCCAGTCCCGTGGAAAAGCCACCTGGATGGAAAAGCCACCTCGTGTCACACCAGGGGTTGGGGTCCTGCAAGGCCTCGCTGTCCTTGCCCGTCCCAGGAGCGCTGGAGGGGGGTGATGGCATCACCCCAAGGCTGTGCCTGTCCAGCAGCTCCTCCCACACACACAGGGACCACGCCGGGCTTTTAAAATACCATTTATTACAATGGAGCCTTCCAGGCTAAAATCCCAAGCCCAGGGCTCGGGGTTGGTTTCTGGTGTGGCAGGTTGAGGGAGTGGGTTTGGGTTTGGGGTTTTTTTTTTGCTTTAAGGTTTCTGTCTAAACAAAACCGGAGAGTTAAGAACAGGGAGGAGAGGACGGTGATCCCCTCCGTGCCCTGAATCAGGACAGACCCCACGTGTAGGGGAAATTCTGCAGTGCCTGGAGGCATTTGGGGACCAGGGTCCCCTGCCCTGTGCCTGACCCTGCTGTGAGTCAAAGGGGGCTGCAGGACCCCCAAGGTGGCTCCAGGTGGTGAGATGCCATCAGACACCCAAACCACATCCCAGAGCTTCTGGTTCCAAATCAAAATGGAAGCAGGATGTGTTTCTTCTTCTTCTTCTTCGTCTTCTTCTTTCTCATGCTGCCCCCCAAAAAAACAAAACCCATTTCCAACAAAAACTCCGAAATGAAAGCACAGCACAGCCCTCGTGCTCCTGTAAACGTGAGTTCCTCCTGCTGCTCGGGCTCTGCCAGTCCTGCCGCGGGGCGAGCAGGGCTCCAGGAGCGCCGGGGGCTGGCCCCGAGCCCCTCCCCAGTGGCCACCGCCTCCGCTGCGGGGCTTGTGCCGCTCCACTCCCGGCGCTGGGGCAGGGCATCCCACCCTTCCTCCTCCTCCTCCTCCTCTCCGTCTCCTCCCAGGGACGCTGGAGCCAGGGCAAGGACGGGGCTTTCAAACCACAGCCGAGGAGGAGGAGGAGGAGGAAGAAGAGGAGGCTGTGGCTGCCGACGATGAAGGAGAGGAAGAAGGGGAGGAGGAGGCGTTCCAGAAGAGCCACCGCCTCTTGGGCTGCCGTTTGAGGTGGAGGTAGTCTTCCTTCTCCCGCTCCTTCTTCGCCCGCTGGTAGTGATCCTCCTCCTTCAGGTACCACACCGGCGGCCAGCGGTGCTTCTCGAAGTACTCCTGGTTCTCTGCGGGCACAGGGGAGGGGTGAGGGCGGTGCCAGGACCGCCAGGACCCCTCGGTCACCTCCCCCTGGCCGTCACTCACCTCCCGACATGGCTTTCATGTCGCGGGGGAACTTGCGGCAGACGTTGTTGTAGTTGGTGCAGATGTGGTGCAGGCACCAGTCGGCGAGCTGGTAGGCGCAGTGGAACTGGGAAAGGATGGGACACCAGCTCAGGGCCACCAGGATGGGCCAGCACCAGGGGTTCACGTCATTTCTCCATGGACATCCAAGGCCACACCCCCTCTGTGTCACCCCCAGCCCTGCCAGACTCCTCTATGTCACCAGCAGCCCTGCCACACCCCTCTATGTGTCACCCCCAGCCCTGCCACACCCCTCTGTGTGTCACCTGGAGCACCCCAGCCCTGCCAGCACAGGCTCCTGTCCTACCTGGGCCAGCTCCAGGAACACGAGCACGTCCCCATCGATGTCCACCATCATCTGCGCCGCCTCCATCAGCCCGGTGACCGTGTACTGCTCTGCACAGGGGGGGACACACGGGCTCAGGGAGGGGCTGGGACAGGGTGACAGCCACCCTGAGGTGCTGCAGCCACCTGCACTCACCTGTGAGAGCCACCAGGTGTGGCAGGCAGAGGCGGTTGGCGAGGATGATGAGCTTCATGTCGTCCAGGTCGGGGCTGGAGCTGAACTGCCCCGTGTACAGGTACTCCAGCACCGCCCGCATGCAGCTCTTGCTGGTGTGAGGAAGTGCCACCTGCCGGACACACTCATTGTCACCTCCTGGGTGTGTCCCCAGCTGTGCCAACCCCTCCCCGGGAGCTCTGCTCACCTCGTTGGTGGAGCTCTCCACGAAGGGGCCGCCGAACATCGCGGCCATCCAGTCGCAGCTGGAGATGAGCAGGGGCTTGTGGGCACTGATAGCACCGTCATCCAGCACGAAGGTGACATCTGGGGACAAGCACAGGACTTTGGTTATTGGGTCAAAAGGATAAATAATACAGGTGTTAGTTCTCTATTGGACTGTTTAGCTTTAAAAGACCTTGTAACCAGCTCGATCCAGCTCACTTTCAGCTGGTGAAAGTGTTGCTGAACTCTCTGTATTTTAGATAAGATTTAATAAACAACCAAACCCAAACACGAGAAAATTCGTCTCCTTTGTGTTTTTAATCCTGACTAAGTGAAGACAGAAGAAAATTAAGACAAGCCGCTAATTAAGTGGTGCAGTTAACCCTTTACAGAGAGGTGCTGCTGGGACCAGCCCTGTCACCTGGGGCACTCCAGGGACAGCAGAGGGAAGGGGATAGAGCTTGGTATATCCTGTATTTTTCCCTAAAATATCTCTAATTCGTATCCAGCATTCCCTGCCAGCTCAGAGGAGTGCTCTGCCTATTCCAAGGGTTTTCCCAGGTCACTGCATAACACATTTGCTAGGAAGGGAAAGCAAATGTCACACCCGAACTGGAGTCCTTGGAGAGCTGGGCAGGAGGCTGGGGATGTCCTGCAGCTTCTCCCAGGGGTGTGCAAGGGCCACCACACATCTGGCCCTGACAGGGACAGCCTGACCATATTAGGATTCATCTCCATGAAATAAATCCAGCCAGAGGGAGGTTGGGACATTCACGTCCCCCTTGGGATGTCACCTCGTGCTGGTGGCTCGTGGTGCTCATTGGAAAGCTGGGAAAATCCTACTAAGGATTGCTCCTCATAAATCAGGAT